TCTAAATATTTTTTTTCTCTTATTCCTCAGACATGCAGGTTTCCTGACGATGTTTTCCTTCACCGCCGAGCACGTGGTAAATCAGCACATATTTATTTTAAAATTGGAATTCTAACGGTTTCATTGGTGCCGATAAGTATCTCGTGCGCTACCACGGCTCTAATATCTAAAAAACATTTTATAATTTTTTTATTCATCGTACTTTTCACCATATTTTCTTTTTACAATAATTATTTCATTGCTTTCAAAAATTTTATTGTCAAAATCACTATCAACGTATTTTACGGCGATTTATCATAACCCTGTAGCTACTCGAGCGCCGTTGTGGAGAGTTTTTGAAGTGTTATTTACAGCTTACGGATGGACACATTATCAACTATTCTCCTTTGGGAAATTGTCCTCCTTACCTCTATACTCCACGATGATAAGATATATGACGTATAGACTACCTCACTATGGAGGTTAGGGATCAGGAGAACGATTACTACGTGCTAAAGCATAGCCCGCCTGTCCCTGAAAATTCGTAGAATTTATAGTCTCGCTGCCATCGGTAAGTAGTATCTGCGAAGTAATTTTTTTTAATTGTTGACAAAAAGAAACATTAAAAAAGGTGAAATGATATTAAAAAAATAATAATAATAAACCAATAATAATTAACAATTTATATTTGTAATAATTTGTTATATTTATAATAATTAAAATTATAAAAAACATAATTTATAATTTATTTATTATAAATAATAATAATTTCGTTATTTACTTTTTTCTTTGAATCTCACTACCCTATGTCTATTAATAAGAAGTACTATAGTATAGTATAGTGTAGTAAAATTATAACCTTCTAAGCATGGGTATTTTCAGTTTTTAGCTGTAACGGTTACATAATGGCGATTCCATTATAGCGGCTGCAACAGTTTGACGTATGTGAAGTTTCATAATAATAAATTAAAAAACATATTAAATAAAAATATTCTTGGAAGAGCTACATTTCAACAAGTTCACTTTCTATTTCATTACAAGAATTTTATTGAAACATTTAAATAGTTAATAAGGAGGTTCAAAGTCCTGTCGCGAGTGCAACAAAGGAGACGGCCCATTTCAGGCCCAGTCATGTACACTATACCGTAAAAATAGCGAAAATTCGGGGATTTTATTAAAAATAAAATAAAAGAATAAATCAAACTAAATGACTTGCTAAAAATAAAAATGCAGTGCCAATTTTTGATGATTTACCAAGACGGCGCCCTTCCATTCGTAAAATTATATGTCAAATGAAGGTAGTGTGATATCTTTTTTATTCCGATCTTATTCGTGCAGTTGTGAACTCATCAATGCGGTCATTGTGTTTCTTTTGGATTTCTTTGGCGATTTGTTTTTTTATTTGGACTTTGGATCTGTTATTGCTTGTTTGTCTCGGCTTTTGTTTTATTGACTTCATGATTTACCTGAGATTTTAATTTCATTGATATCGGACATCTGTAGAATCACATTTTGAATCACTAGGCATCAACAACCTCATGAAATTTCACAGCTAACGTCAAAACGACATCAATTCGTCACTTGTGTTGCAGTTTTTGGTAAGAATAAAATATTAATACCACTGAAATAAAGGCAAATTCTTGGATTTAAATGACGAAAAGTGATGTAAAATATTATTTTAATTTATTTCCCTACTTGTACAAAACCAGGCCTAAGCTCATTGGTATTGGATTTGTTTGGTATCACGTCTTTCATCCGATATTTTCTACTAATATCATGTCTATTATAGAAATTACTAAAATACTACACTTTTACAAGTAATTTCTTAGAGTCACCAATCTTAAATGTCGTATATAAAATTTAATAATATATTTTTCAGTCATAAATTTGAGTGTTTTACACAATATAACAATTTAATTCACGAATTAAAAGGTATTAATATTAAAAAATGGGATTTTATTTCTTACATATATTTACTATTAAAACATTTTTTTAACAGATTTCTTGTCTTAAGTTTTTATATTTCGATACTAGTTTTCAACAATGCTAGTTACTCATCTGAGTTGACAAACTCATTTCTACATGACTCTCAAAGACAAATAGGAGGCCGTTATCATCCCTTTTAATATTTATATGGTAATAGGATATATATATATATATATATATATATATATATATATATATATATATATCATATTTCTTTCTAGCATCTAGCTGTCTTTTATCTATCTTATTATCGTTATTTGTTATCACCACTGGGTGCTATGTGCTATTAGCGTATGTAACACAAGCTTTTAAATCAAATAAACATTAAACATTTAATTCTTTATTCGTATTGCCGATTGCTATGTTATGCATGATTTTAAGTTAATTCAAAATATCTTTATCTGTAAGCATTTATATTATTAATATTTATCTTAAGAAACGAGAATGATTTTCTTTGTGCTCGCATATAATTTTAACTTTAAAATTTTAGCCTACTATGCGGTTCATAATTACTTTTTATTTATTTAAATAACAAAACATCATAGAGCACACGGACCACCGGCGGATCGGAGGGTTTTAGCCATAAGCAGGCGTTCCCTTCTATCAAAGTATAAGTCCAAGCGGTCCTATGTGTACACTGACCTCCATATTCGAGGGGTGATTCATAAGTAATGATAGTTGGTTATTTCCAGTGCATATAAAATCCAAAAAAAGTTCTGCTTGCTTATGTACCCAATAGGTCAGCATAAAAAAATCATATAAATAGGCTACGATTCCCTGGAAGTTGTCATCCCAGATGTTTTATTTTATATATCTTATACCTTTAAACGAGCAATTTTTGTATATATATAATCGTAATCTCAGAAACGGTTCCAAAGATTTTCATAAAACTTAGTGTCCAGGGGGTTTCAGGGGCAATACATCGATCTAGCTAGGATTCATTTTTAGAAAATGTCATTTTATCCGTGTTTTCAGGCAATGAAAAACTACTACAATATAATTAGAATAAGAAGCTAAATTGTAATTGACAATTGGTAATTGACAATGTGTTATTTATTATAATAGCTCAAATGGGATATCGGGTGGTCCCGAAATCGTAGTACCCTGGTTCGTGTCCTGTCTTCGGTCTGACTTTTTCCTTTTTTTTCAAGTTCCCTTCTTTTGTGAGAAAATCTATTATTTCGAGCCCTTTATTTAGTTTTTTTTTAAATCACGAAAATTTAACCAGGTAAATATAGAGCAGTTTAATAGTGATGCGCCAAGATTGACCCATACGCGATATTCTACTTAAGTTACTTATTTAATTAGATAGTTATAAGGTAGATTTTAGCAGATTAATTATTAATCAAATACAAAAATCTAATTAATTTACTACCCCTAAAAAAGGGTTAACATTATATTATAGTCGTTTTGGTTGCTTGATCGCAGTTTTGAAAAATTGTGAATACACAAGTAATTACGAGGGTACCTACATAAATAACTGCCAAAGCTAGTTTGCTTTTTATCGTTTTTAAATAAGTATAATCTTACTTCAAATTTAAGGTCTTATATTACACCTCCAACCAGCTTGTGCAATTCATTCCTGCTATATAAATGTACGAACACTAAAATGGACGAAACAAACGAAACTCTGATGTTGGGCTCCCAGTTGAGCCCTTTTATTGCTAGTACCTGTTTATTTGCCAATTGACTGCTTTTCAGAAGTCTGAAATTAGAAAACAATTATGACCGTTTTTACCTTTGTTATGTACATATAAAATAGCTATTCAAAAGTTTTATTTTAGACATGGATTAGAAATACAAGGGATCTTAAATTCTAATACTGTAATTATATCATAATTATTAGCAAAGAAATCATTTTACGTGGTAGAGCTATGCTGTAGCTATATTAATTGTATAGTTGTATCACGAATGGGTCGGCTTGATCGGGGAAGGACCACGCTCTCACAGAATAATATCGTACAATAGCAGCTTAATGCTTTTGTATATGGAGAGTATATATGCTATGTATGGTGAGTGTAGAGAACCGAAGACCCCTTTTACTGGAAAAAAGGCATTCCATCTTAGTCCTCACGTCTGACAATGCATCTGTATTTTGATTCACAAACGAGAATAGATGTAGATATCTATGGGCCTCAGCAACCACTTACTATCAGGTGGACTGTGTGTTCACTTGTCACTCTTATCCTATAAAAAGAAAATATTATTATTAAAAAATATTAAAGTATAACGTGGCACAACACTAGGTCTAATTCAGAGAAAACTCGAAGTGCGAGGCGCGGAGCACGTACTGTGTCGCCCCGGCCGCGCGTCCCCACTACACACTTTGACACGCTAATTAATTTTGTTAAAATTAGTGTTTTGTTATCTTACATTCCTACCGATGAATAGAAATATCATTGTTCTTCTTAGTTTGCTTCCGTGAATTGTTTTTACAGCACTGCACGTTTCACCACAGTAACTCAAAATTCAAATAAATACTGTCGGGAAAAAGAATTATCGCGGGTGACCTTTCGTGACTAATAATGTCATCCTTGTCATTTATAGAGACATGCTGACGTTTGACATAATGGGCAATAAGCGATATGCGCGCTCTATAGCTTGTTTATTTGTACTCTAAGGTTTATTGTTTTAATTGTTGCGTGTGATATTCGTAATGACAGACAATTAATTTTATGTGCGCAAACCCAAAAAAATTTGCCAAAAATGAGAGCCATTCTGTATCCGCTGTGCCGGTGGCCCATGTCGGTCGGTAGCTTGCTACATATTTATTTATCTATGATGTCGGTGCTGCTCTATGCATTATGATTATGAAATGACATATCAGTATCCTCTTTACTCGTAGACAGAGAATTCTCTTTCTACGTCTTTCCTCTTAGTCTTAGTCTTTGGGTTTGTGGCTCTGTGGACACATTCGCTCTCTGTCATATCATATCGTATCGTATATCTATGTCGTATAGCGTCTACCCAAAGATAATAATAAAAATCTCTAATAGATAGTGTCTACGAATACGAATTAAATATAAATTTCTATAATGGTGGATCGTTTAGGTAGGCTACTATATTAATCAATACATATTTACGAGAAAGTTATTTTTTTACACATACAGTAGTAATTATGCTAATATTATAATGTGTTTGTGTTAGTTTCCATTGTTCATTTACTCACTTTCCTTTGACGTCAAATTTTAATACTTTACCGCAATTTAGAGAAGATTCTTTTACCTTCTTTCAGTGAATAGCGAAGCCAATGCAAGACGAATTGCTATGGTGGAGAACTGCTTCGGCAGTTCAGGGCAGGTTAGTCACTAACTAATCAGAAATTATTAAACTACGAAGTTTGATACAATAGCTTTATCAGTCGACAAACTCTGAAAGATAAGTTTCTATACCTACTTTCGATGGCTTTGGTCAATTTGATAATAAACGTTAACCGAAGAGATATTTATATGCACAATTATCTTTGCCTATAAAGTTTGTTCAACTGGCATTGTATAATGACCATGATAATGTTTTATGTTTATCCTTGTCATCAAAAATTAAGATGTGTCATTTTAATGTAATTTTAAATGTATATTATTGAAGTAGGGTTTTAAATATTAATTGTTATAAAATTATACTTGACTGAAAATAAACTCCTAGTTAAATTTCAGCCACTGGCAGAACAGGGAAGAGTGCTGGTGGGAGAAGGTGTCTTGACAAAAATGTGCCGCAAAAAACCAAAAGCTCGACAATTCTTTTTATTTAATGATATATTAGTATATGGTAACATAGTCATCAATAAGAAGAAGTATAATAAGCAACATGTTATTCCACTGGAAGAAGTAAAACTGGAGTCTCTTAAAGATGAAGGACGTAAGTTTTTAAGGAACTTGTTATATTTTTAAAAGTTGTTATATTATAAAAGAAATGTCTTGTAGTGGTGGTAAGAGTAAATCTATCACTGTAGTTTGTCTCGTTTCATGTCTAATATGTACTTATAGGACAAGAAACTTGCCCTATTTATAGCAAATAAAGGAATTTGAATTTAAAATGAGCTATAAGAAGCATTTATGAAGGTGTAAGACACCTGGTATTGCAGCGACAGTTGACTGTTGAAGGTGGTGATAGTGAAGTAAAAATTAATAAATCTTTGAATATGTGTAATATAATACGACTTCTTTTCTACATGTGGTTTGCTGCCTGGTTAGTTACTTTTAACTATTTTTAGGGCCAAGCAGATGTTCCAAATGGATGCCAAACACTGATGTGCTCTGGCCACAAGGCTATGAAGAGTCTTGTGACTCCTCAGAGTTTTCAATGTGACTGTAACCTTTTTTTCTGATATTGATAACAGGTGTCCATAGGCTGCTGTAGCTACATACTATAACTAGGGAATACAAATTTCACAAGATTGGGGCTCAAGCAAGATCCCGCAAGTTTATGAATAACAATACTGCGAAATCTCGCCAATTTCGAGATCTCGCGATATTGACAGTTTTGTGTATTTGCTTTGCAAATAATCACAATATTTGAATAAATTAGGAAAAATATAATAAAAATTATAAGCATTATAAGATAAGCGATCGATTTTCACGAATTTTTTCAATAGACTTTTATGCATCAAACATTGTTTGACATATCTGTCTATAATTATTTTAATAAACTTATAAGTAGTACACTTTGATGTATTATCTATCAAATAACAAATGAAGGAAACAACCAGTTATCTCTTCTAATATCAAACAAAACAATGAGAAGTAAAAAAAATTAAACTTATTATCTAAGTTGAGTTAACTATTAAACTGAGATATTATTATCAATTAAATAAAACTATATTTACTCAGTAGATGCTTTAGATATTACAAATTAATTAACAAAATATACCAATCAAATGAAAGAGTTGTTCAGTTCAAATCACAAGCCATTATTACGAATTATTTTGAAAGTAGCTCCTTAAGAAGCACAAAATGTCCAAAGAATCGTCTGCTAAACGGCTTCTAATTTTGTTGGCCAGATAACCAGCTGCTGAGAAGGCCCTTTCAGATTCAACACTAGTTGGAACCACAGATCTCAGGCAGTTATCCATAAACTGTAAAAGTTTGCTTTTTGACCCCCAGGGCTTGTATAAATTCATTTCCTTATTGATTAATGCCTCCAGAGAATAGTAGTTTCATTAGTTTTCGCTTCGAATAAGATGTTTTTATGCTCGAGTGCAAAATTGCTAAAAAAGGCCGAGATCTCGCGAGAACGAGATTGCATTCCCCAACTATAACTATTAGGTGGACTATTAGTATGTTTGTCATGTTAATGTTATAATAGAATATAATTATGATGATGTTGAATGGAATGACATTCATATTAGTCATCATCATCATCCTGTGAAACTACTGCTGGACATGGACCTTGATATGGGTTGTGTCCTGTGGCACAAATTATTTTGGTGATTTTTCTTTCAATACCTAAATGTCACTTGGTTTGGTGGAATTGGTGGGAGGTGACACCTGACCCCATCCCGCCCCTCCCTCAACTCCCTATCAAAGCAACTAGTTTTGTTTTTAAAGTACAACTCTGTTAGTGATTTTAATTTAAAATTTATAAAATGTATAAGAGAAACTAAGTGCCCACTGGTGGGTAAATATAAGGGAGGTTCATCCCTACCAGTTACTCCCCTCTCCTCTCTCCTAGTGCTGCACAACTCCTACCTAAGGCTCCTGCCAAAGCTCTGGACCACTCCCATTTATAAGGAGTATTTGTTTTAATAGTCAAAAGCTTGGAAGATGTAATACCAATATTATAATCTATATATATATATATAATTTTTTAATATGATAGTGCAGTACCAGACATTGCCCCTTTTTTGCCGCTTCCTATTGCTTATCTAGGTATTTACTTTTTCTTATAATCTTGTTATATCAGATCAAAATAAATACTGGACTAACTCCGTATCATACTAAAATTTAATTTTAAAAAATATGTAAGAAGTTATATAAATTGAAACAGCTTATATCCAACACTAAAAACAATTTATTTTGTTAAATATATCATAATAGATGATATGTAAATTCAAGCAAAGTAATTTGAACTAAATACCTAACTTGACATAGAAATTTCTAAAAAAACTATATTTACAAACACACCTGTCACCCAGAGGGGTAGGTAGAGACTATAGACTTCCATTTGGCACGATCCTGACAAACCTCTCTTGCCTCCTCTACATCTATATACCTTTGCATAAATGCTCGTCAGATAAGGGTACTCCTAATTTAGTCATAATAATCGCAAGGATAAACTTTCTCTAGGATGTACTCTACCATTTACTATTATATTATATAAAGGGTTGTAAGATATCTACATTATAGATTCCTTTATTAACTATAAATTTCCTTTGACTATATCAATATGTATTAAAACAGTGAGTCAATGTTGCAATGACTCACATTATTTTTGTATTATCAATTCTGTTAGTTTATTCAATGACAATATTAAAAAGTAAGCTCATGAGTCATGACTCATTGAGTATTAATTTTTATTATATAACAATGTTTATTATATAATATTATTTTGTTTATCACAAGTATTAGCATACATGCAATAGTATTTTTCATTCAGATTAAGTATCTCTTAATTTAAACAATTTTTTTTTGAGATGAGAGTTGAATTTGCAACCCATGAATCAGAAATTATGTACAACCTTCATGTGTCCATTAGCATTTACAGATTATTATATGGTATTATGTACACTTCACAGAGTATCGCAATGGCTGGTTAATACGCACTGCCTCAAAATCTTTTGCTGTATATGCAGCAACAGCTACAGAAAAAGAAGAATGGATGGCTCACATAGAAAAATGTATAGAGGATTTGCTAAGAAAGAGTAAGTAATTGATATAAATGTAATTCTTGTGCTCAATTATTGAGTTGGATTTAGAATCATTTGGCAAGAATTTGGGGGATAAAAGTATTTTGTATAATAGAGGTTTTGTCTCCGATTATAACAATACCACTCGCATTAAAAGGTTTTATTTATAACCTATTATAACCTTTAATGTGTAAATCTTGGAAAAATGTATGCAATATTAATGTGAAAGCTGGATAGCATACAGAATTTTGTGTAAGTGCAACAAGGATGTCAAACTTAAAACTAGTGTCACATTATTATACTTCTATATGGTAGTATTTTATGCATTCTGCCATTGGTTGCTCTTCTTCCGTGAATGTGTGCTCTCCAGTTTATTATTGCAGGTTTTATAGTGCTATACTTGAGCACCCAGATATACTTTTAGTTGTAACAGGTTAGAAGGTTGTGGTGGGTTCCTTCGTGGTAATCTTTTTTACCACCCAGAAATACTTGAGCAACCAGAAATCCTTACAGTTGTGATAGGAGACAACCCCGCTTCTCCTTCTCCTTCCCCCCCTCCTGCCGGAAACGATAATATAAATGTTCTCATTTTGAGGTTAGGTCTATGGGAATCTATTTTTTAGTTTTTCAAGAACCGTTAGGGGAACCTTCCTCCTCCCCACATCCCTTGCCCTCCGTCCAGCCAAACGATTCTAAATTTGAAAGAGGTTATAATATTTTTTTCTATTTTCAAGAAAATAGTGCATTAGGTACTTTTTATTGTGAATGGTATTGTTATAATCAGGGACCAAACCTCTACCAAACAACTTCCTGCCAAACTATTCTAAATTTTATCCCTGTGTAGTGGTGATGTAAGAATATCTTCATCAGTTAAGCATTGAGTGTTGTTGATGAAGCATGGTGTACAGATAAACTTTCTTAGGTTTTTGCGACACCGTGATTAATTGGTTATACTTGTTATATGGTTAACGCTCGCTGTAAATATAACAGAACGCGAGTATCCCGGGTTCGATCCCCGCCGGCGTCAATGGAATTGTTAATTGCAATTTTAAGTGCTGATTTATCACGTGCTCGGCGGTGAAGGAAAACATCTTGAGGAAACCTGCTTGTCTGAGGAATAGGAAAAAAATATTTCAAAGACATGTGTAGTTCGCTAACACGTATTGGGGCAGCTCGGTGGACACTTCCTTGCCCTAAAACCCTCTCAGAAACGGGGAGAGGCCTGTGCCCAGCAGTGAGACTTATATAGGTTGTAACTTTACTTTACTTTTGTATTTGACATATTTTAATAAAATAAAATATAAATCAATATATATATCAAGATATATCATTGTGAATATCTCATACCGCCGCATGGATATTCTAACAGAGGACAAAAGGAAACAAACCAGCAGATGGGCAGGAGTATGTTACTAATAACAAATAAAAATTGCAGCTACTAAGCCGCCTGCCAAGTTTGCAACTATGGAAAATTTCCCCCTATAAGACAATCTATCTAGAGACCTATGTTTAGGAGTAGACTTTTGATAGGCTGTAACGGTAATGGCATTAAATGCTGCGAGTGTAATTCTTTATGTTGTAAAATTAAAAATTGAAGTGTTTTGTGCAAAAACAATTCTATATCACATACCTAAAAGAATCAATGTTAATGTAACTAAAGGATTTGGTCTGCCGTGATACATTGTTTGTCTAAGGATCGACAGCCCCAAAAATCTCTTTCTGCATTCTCAATGATGACTACTCTTTACTGAAATTAAATAAAAGTCACGGACACTCCTGATAATTGATTAAAATAATATTAGTATTTTAAATTTTAATCAATTTTATATTTTGATTTTAACAAATTCATGTGTAACCCGGATATTTAAGACCTATTATATATTTTTTTCATTTTAGGTGGTAAACAGCCGCCATCAGAACATGCTGCTGTGTGGGTGCCAGACAATGAAGCTGCTATATGTATGCATTGTAAGAAGACGCAGTTCACTGTTCTAAATAGGAGAGTATGTATATATATATATATATATATTTATTTAAATTAGTATAATACATTGATCAATAAGTTTTTGGAACCACAATGAAACTCTAAGATAAGTATAATGTAAAATGTATTTAATTTTCAATAGTATAATATGTACATACATATTAAAAATCTTTTACAATTCGATAACTTATCTTAACAAAAATATTTAAGTAACTCTTGCTTAACACAACACTCTCGTCTTTTCAGACTATCACAACTGAACGCTGTTTTAAAAAAATGGCATTTAGTCCAGGATCCATCGCCCATTTTTGCACGTGATTACTATCAAGCTAATTTTCCGTCAGTAGCTTTATTTTGATGAGACGCCCGATAATTTCCTGTACGAAACTCTCGATTGTGGTACCTAACAGAAGTAGCAAGGATAAAATATGTTGATTTGATGATTCTCAAATATTTATTACTAACTGAATTTTTTTTTGTTAAATCAAGATATTTATCTAAATTATTCGAAAAAAATATTAGTCCTACAAAATCTATGGTTTGATCAAAGAGTCCCCTCTATCCAATATGTATCGATAACGAGGTCGTCATAAATGATTACTAACCAGCTGATTTTTTTTTGTTTTTACTTAGTTAATATTTATATAATTTAACAGGCATATTGTCCTACAAATTGCGTGGTATGTTATCTGGTCCTACGCTCAAAAGTTGTTAATACCACAAGACCATTTTTTTCATTACTAACTGTAGGACAAAAATATTACATGATAGGTTAGTGTGTTCTCTGCCCAAATAAAACATCGTCCTACAAGAAAATAGGTATGTATTATTAGTCCGACAAGAATTGTCATTTTTTCGTTTTTCTATCTGTAAAATAAGATAAAGTAAAAAAAGCTTTTCTAAAATTTAAATAACTTTATTTTTTAATAAACTTGGTACAAAAATTTATGTATTTATATATATATAAAAAAAAAGAAGTTAATCTTCATCAGATTCATCTTCGCTACTAACATCGCTGTCATCTTCTATTTCACTTTCCTCAGTCGTAATATCTGACTCTGTAATAACATGAAAAAATTAAGTAAATTATATAATACAAATAAATTATATAACTAACAAATAAAAAAAATTATTTAATTAACTAACCGTGAAGTGCATGGCAATGGGTCCGGTTCTACATTTTCAGCAGACGTTAAAGATACCGAGGAATCAATGATTCCATTAGATTGAGACGCTGATAACCTACCGTCATCGATACATATTGGATAGAGGGGACTCTTTGATCAAACCATAGATTTTGTAGGACAAATAATTTTTCGAATAATTTAGATAATTATCTTGAGATTTAACAAAAAAAAAATTCAGTTATTAATAAATATTTGAGAATCATCAAATCAACATATTTTATCCTTGCTACTTCTGTTAGCTACCACAATTGAGAATTTTCGCATAGGAAATTGTTGGGCGACTCATCAAAACGAAGCTATTCACGAAGATTCAGCTTGATAGTAATTATTTTTACATCAAGGATCTGTACTACTACTTTTGAGCGTAAGACCGGGATAACGTACCACGCAATTTGTAGGACAATATGTCTGTTAAATTATATAAATATTAACTAAGTAAAAACAAGAAAAACAGCTTGTTAGTAATAATTTATGATGAACTTGTTATCGATACATATTGGCTAAAGGGGACTCTTTGATCAAGCCATAGATTTTGTAGGACAAATATTTTTTTCGAACAATTTAGATAATTATCTTGAGATTTAACAAAAAAAAAATTCAGTTAGTAATAAATATTTGAGAATCATCAAATCAACATATTTTATCCTTGCTAGTTCTGTTAGCTACCACAATCGAGAGTTTCGTACAGGAAATTATTAGGCGTCTCATCAAAATAAAGCTACTCACAGAAAATTAGCTTGATAGTAATCACATGCAAAAATGAGCGATGGATCGTGGACTAATTTTAATAATTGACTGTTCGTTTTGCCATTAGCATAAATAAAAAATGTGTAGTAGTTTAAAATAATATTCTAAAATGAGTAACAATACCTGACATGTCAGTTTACTCGAAATTACGACCCGATATTTAAAATTATTTCTAAATTATTATACATAATTTACTGCAATTTAATGTGTTTTAATACGTTTAGATATCACTGTTTATAATTTTAAAATTTTAACTGTTGTGTGCTTTCATAGAAAAAAGGAAAGTAAGTTCAAGATTTTGTTACCATTTTACTAATGGGACAAGTAAATAAGTGGTCATTCATTGTAAAAGAAAACTCTTTTTAATTAATTGATTGCATGAATAGCCATTGTTATTATTTTAAGTACAGTAGAGCGTCGATTAACCGAATTAATTGGGGGACATAGGTGTTCGGGAAAATCGGTTTGTTCGGATAATTGAACTGTATTATTGTATGTAACAGTACACTAATAAAAACATATTTATAATATTATGTAATATAAATATAATCTATTACAATTGTAATACAAGCTAGAGCATTAATACGATTATTTACTTTACACAAGGTGCCGCTAATTTAAGACGCGAGGCAAGAGTTTTTCGTGGCAAAGCCTTCCGATTGAGTCCAGTTTTGTCAGGATTGTAAACGTTTTTTAAAACATAATTTTCTTGTTTTAATAGGTCACTTTATTTGATTTTGAAAGAATCAGCTGCTGAAGAACCAGCAGATAGCTTTTCTCTTTGTATTTAAAGCTCACGAATGCCTTCACTTGCTTGCTTGAAAATTCGACGGCCCTCCCAAGTTTTTTATTTAATGTTTTGCCTTTTCACATAGAATGGCATCATAGATAGGTTCTCATTGTGATATTTTTTCTGTAAATCACTTGTAAACAGCGTCATCGAGATCGATGTTCGTGGCGAGCTTCATAGTTTAACGACTTGTCGACCCATCGGTAAAATCATGTTTATATATAAAATTGGATATGGTCGTCTTTTGGTTTTTATATCCATAATTGTCGACTTAACCACTTTGTACTTTTTAAATAATTTAGTTGCAGATTCGGCTTTTTCTAATCGTTTGTTAATCTCGTATTTATCTTTTATTGAAAGAACAATACGTTTACGTGTAGGCATTTTCAATTGTGAACTAATAGCGCAAAATTAACACATAAGCGTATAGCGCTATCAGTACTGAACGTAGGGCAACACGTGCCACAGGCGTGGAGAAGCGAGAACGTGGTCACATCCCAATGAGGTGCCGAGGTAACAGTTCGGTTAAGCGGTCGTTCGGTAAATCGACGTTCGTTTTACTGTACCAGTTTACAAATTGAATTATCATTTTAATCCAGTGTTTTACTCAACACTACGATATATTTAGGAAAAATACTTTTAATTGTGTGTGACACACCGATTTAAGAGGGGGTCGATGTGATTTAAAGTTTATTTTAGATAAGCATGTAACTATTTTGTATTTGCCTAAAAAGAGTAACTGTCGTAAATGAAAATACAACTGTCATCTTAATTTATCCATCTCGCTCACTCTTCACCTAATATATAATATACAATATGTAACGTAATTAACGCACACCCTCAGACACCCCAATTAGTATATTATGTTATAATCATAATACATACACTGAATTTTTAGTTAAACATTTTTATGCACTGATTATTTATCAAATTAGTTATACTAATTCTGGAAGAATGTTATGGTCACAGTACAAATCCACGAATGCAAAGACTTTAACGTGCTTGAAATAAAGTAAATTTTTTCTTTATTTTTATTGAATGACAAAATTAGTAATAATACAAATAAAACTGCACTCTTAATAGTCTTATTGCCTTAAGTTACGGTCCATTTCATTTTGTTTTGATTGTACGGATTTAGTGTGACTGTAATTTACGTAGTTTTAATTATTTTTGGGAAAAAAATTACCTATATTAAAAATAATAGGAATCAATTCAGTAAACGATTCTGAACAAACTACTTTCTCAAAGTGCGTTAATTATGTTACATGTTTTATATATATATATATATCAATAATATGTAACGTAATTAACGCACATCCTCAGACACCCCAATTAGTATATTATGTTATAATCATAATGCATACGAGGGCGGCACTGAAAATTTCGGGAATCAAGGAAGTGACACAACATTACTATTTAAAAATGTATTTATTGCTTTTCGAAGTATTCTCCGCGATATTTGACACATTTTTCCATACGATGGAATCAATCATTGAAGCAACCATTCCATTCGGAAGTTGGGGTCTCCAAAATGGCCGTTTTGTAGGCGTCCACAGCTTCTTCAGGTGATGAAAATCTCTGTCCACGCAATTTATTCTTTATTTTAGGGAAAGTATAGAAATCATTAGGGCTTAGGTCGGGGCTGTACGGCGGATGGTCTAATAATTCTATGTTTTCTTGCTCTAAAAACTCTCTTGTTCTGTGTGCGGTGTGAGAACTCGCATTGTCGTGATGAAGGATGATGCGCAACCGTCGCATCATCCTTCATCACGACAATGCGAGTTCTCTCTGAGAATCTTTTTTTAAATAAATAAATGGTATTCGATATATAAAACCAAGGAGTTTTCAATTAAAAAGATTTTAATATGACAGGAACAGTGGAAATATTCCATTCCCGATACTTTTAGTGCAGCCCTCGTACACTGAATTTTTAGTTAAACATTTTTATGCACTGATTATTTATCAAATTAGTTATACTAATTCCGGAAGAATGTTGTGGTCACAGTACAAATCCACGAACGCAAAAACTTTAACGTGCTTGAAATAAAGTTCATTTTTCTTTATTTTTATTGAATGTCAGAATTAGTAATAATACAAATAAAACTACACTCTTAAAAGTCTTATAGCCTTAAGTTACGGTCCATTTCAGTTTGTTTTGACTGTACAGATTTAGTGTGACTGTAATTTACGTAGTTTTTAATTATTTTTGGGATAAAAAATTACCTATATTAAAAATGATAGGAATCGATTCAGTAAACGATTCTGTTACGTGTTGTATATATAATATAGCTCGAGGATTCCACAGCTGTGACACAGTTACTGTTCTGAATTGCTGGTGTAGCAGCATACATAGAAGACTTTGTATTTAAGCGGCGTTATTGCAGTGCGATTTCATGAAAAGTCACGAAATCGTTTCACTATACACAATATGGTGCACATAAACGAAGTGGTCAGGTTAGTAAAGGTGTGTGGGGCGTGTGTTGCAGCACCACTGCCGCAAGTGCGGGTCGGTGGTGTGCGGGCCGTGCTCGTCGAAGCGGTTCGTGCTGCGTGGGCAGAGCGAGAAGCCGCTGCGCGTGTGCCTGCAGTGCTACGACGAGCTCACGCGCGAGCGCGCGCGCCTCGCGCCGCACCCGCACCCGCCCGCCGCCGAGCCAGGTCATTCGCACACCCACCCCCTACATTATACCCACGCTCCACTTCATGCACCCCTAAACCCTTGCCCCCTACCTCTCTTAACAACTTACTCACATACTGCCGCCAAGTACCGCTAACGGTATTTTTTAGAAAAGAGTGGCTTTATAATTCAACTAGATCTTTGTAAATTGTGAAACGATTTTGAGGTTTGTTTTCTATTTATTTAATAAAAAACAAACCTCAAATATAGGTTATATTTATAGGTCATATTTATGGGCTGGTCTCATATACGTTTGTAAAAAAATCCTCCCAAAAAGGTGGCAAAATAGGGGAATGAAGTTGATGTAACCTATTTAAACTTCAAAAAAAATATAACTTACACATTTAAATAATTTAATATTCTGAAGTTGTTGCTATGATGTATACATAGTGCCATCCACGAAGACGCGCCCCACCTATTTTTGGTCAAGGGGATCGCGGGGTGCCGGAAGTTTGACCCGAGCGTCAATCGCGAGCCATCAGGCGTCAGCCAGCGGTTACACACTAGTAGTACAGTCCATGTTGCACAAATTCAGGCACGTCACGAAAGTTGCTCTACTTCATATTTTTTTACGTCGAGATAATTCTCAGCGTGTTGTACTTATGCCCCATTTACATTCAGCCTTGTTGGGCAGGGAAGTGGTCAGGGCAGTATGTGAATAGGCTACTCGCGTTGTCACTGCCGCTGCCGCTGCCACTGCCCGACACTCCCTCGTTTGTCGGTTTTTCGTGTCAGTGAGTGTTCACATTCTGCTCACTTGGCGCCGAAGTTCGACCGAGAAAGAACGTGCTACGTTTAAAAACGTCAATTCGTTTATTAATCTGTCCAGTGTTTTAATGATATTTAATAATGACAAAACAATAAAAAATTTAGTATTGTATGAAAAGCAGCGGGTAATGTAAGATGCTCATGATAAAAACCATAAAGTGCACGTAGTACCTACTTATACTGAGCAGACATAATGCTGTCACACCAACAAATTTGACGTCAGTCATTGTTGAGAGTTGATCAATAAAGAAGTATGAAGGCTGAGTGTGAACACCCACTCGCGTCGTTATTGTCGCAGAAGTATTTAAGGAAATATTTCCGGCAGCGACAGGAGCAGTTGTAGTGGTTGAGTATAAATGGGGCATTAAAAGCCAGGCATGTAAATGTTTTTTACATTGTTTAGAAATTAGTAGTTACTAAAATACATGTAATAAATTTTGAAAATTACCATATGGCTCTGATTGTATTATGTAGATTATAAATACATAGTTAGTTTACAAAGATTTTAAGTCCTAAAAATGTGAACTGTACTTGTTAGATTTAATGTGGTTGTTTCTATTTAAGAAAAGTTAAAGTTACAGCCTATATACGTCCCACTCCTGGGCACAGACCTCCCCTCATTTCTGAGAGGGTTTTAGAGCAAGGAATTGTCCGCCACGTCGCCCCAATGCGTGTTGGCGAACTTCACATGTCTTAGATTTTTTTTCTTATTCTCCAATATGCAGGTTTCCTCACGATGTTTTCTTTCACGACCGAAGAGGTGGTAAAACAGCACTTAAAATTGCAATTAACAATTTCCTTGATGCCGGCTGAGATTGAACCCGGTTTGCTCGCGTACTGTAAAATTTACAGCTAGCGCTAACCATCTGAGCTACCACGACTACGGCTTGTAACTCTTTTATGCAAGAGAAATTATTTCTAAAGTGTATGATTACATGAAAAAATAAAGTAATAATTACGCAGAAAAACTCACCGATGCGTGATGGAGAACCGTACAGACTGTTGAAGTATCTGTAAACACAGTGACTACAATTCTACGCGCAAGAAAGGCATATACAAACAATATTATGCTAACTACAGTACCTACTATAGAATCGAATACAACTAAAGAAACCGATGCGATACTTGCTATAGTCCCAAGTACGAAGCTTACAGCAGAGCCGACTACGGAAGCAGATATTGAGTCTGAAAATGAAGCAAGTACATCGCAATCGAATTTAATAAGTACAAGTGCTACCATTTTTACGTCTACTATGAAGAAGAGAAGGGTAAGATCACGAAAAATTCAAAGAGCTATCCTATAGAACATCATCAATTTCCAACATTTTGAAAGTCCGTACACAATTTAATTGATCTATAATAGCTCTAAAAATTATTACATAAACTTGGTTATAAATGGAGAAGAACTGAGAATATTAGGAAGGTGCTAACTGAAAGACATGATATTCAAATGTTAAGATTAAGATATTTAAAACAGGTAATCTTTCTGTAATCAAGGTAGACCTACAGTGTACACAAATGAATCATATATTCATACCAACCATGTGCGAAAAAAACCTTGGGCAGAAAAGCATTCTAAAGAAGTAATAAAACAAACTTTAACAAAAGGGAGTGCAAATAATTATGGTTCATGAAAAGTGCAGAAGTTTTTGTACCATTTGGTACAAAACCTTCTGCGTTGTGGACATACAGAGCAGAAATCAAATCCGGAGACTACCATGACGACATGAACACAGAAAATTACCTAAAGTGGCTAAAGGAGAAACTAACACCAAATCTCCCAAATGATGACTACTTCGGAAAAATTACTAACATCTAACTTCAATAAATTAGACATGTAGACTTAGCTGAATGCAAAAAATATCCATTTCGAACCAAGTTTCAAAAAACCTGAACTTTATGAACTAATATTAAAAAAGAAAACTTCCGCAAGTACAAAGTTGACGATTTATTAAAAGATCGTGGTATCACGGTGCTTCGGCTGCCTCTTTGCCATCCAGATTAAAACCCTATAGAAAACATTTGGGGTATTGTAAAAAATGACGTCGCTAGATGCAATATCAATCAAAATCATACTTCAATTATGCCCATTTTAAATGAAGCCTTTGCTCGAGTACATAAAGATGTCTGGTTCAAAACTTGTCAGCACGTGAAAAAAATAGCAGACGAGTACATGAGACACTGTCATATTGATTGAAGTTTTATTATAAATGTAGCTGATACGTCGGACTCCGAATCAAACATTTCTGAAACATTCTGAAACGAGTGAGTGGAGTATTTTAAATATTGTAATTTTTTAACAAAAATCAATAAAAAAATTTTCACGTTTTTTTATTTTTTTTTATTAATTACCCCCTATTATAAAAATGGTAATATTATTGTATATTAACTAATATTCACAAAAAATACACAAACCTAAAATCATCAAAAAAAATTTAAGTAGAGCATCTTTTCTTTGGACCGTAAATCTTACTCCTGATTGGTCTATTCATGGTAGTGTGCACGTGCACTCATAGGTAATCAGTGTGTACCGATAATACTCAAACATTAGCGGAAGCTTCTGTAAACGATTAGTAAAAAAGTGGGGCGCCTCTTCGTGGATGGGACTATCTATAGTCTTAATACTTATGTATACATAAATGAATTAAAGCTCCAACTACAGAATGTAAAACTATGATTTCTTATATTTACGCGAACACTACACATTGAAATAATACTAGTTTTTACGGAATTTATCGCGTATATTAAACTTTTTAAATACCCGACGTTTCGAACGCTTTACAGCACTCATGGTCACGGGCAGGACTGAGATGTTCAACGTCCATATGTCATAGTTAACCGCGGTTACCACAGATTAAAATTTAACTTTTGTTCCGATCTATGCAGTATGAACTTATGGTATCTTGAAGTCTTGCAGTTGTATGCTTGGGTTGGAATTTAATTTTATTTATTATAGGAATCCAAGCAGATGGTAGCACCCAGCCATCTTCTCTATTGAAATTAGGATGTTTTTTGATTTCAATAGCCTCGCGAATCATCCTTGGAAGGAATCGGTGTTCTTTCGCGAGGATTTATGGTCTATCAAATCTGATGTAATGGTTGGGTCCGTCTAGGATATGATCACAAACTGCAGACTTCCCGGAGCGTCGATTCTTCACATCAGCTATATGTTCTTTAACGCGGGTTTTTATTGATCTTTTAGTTTGTCCTATGTCGGAGAGACCACATTCACAATCAAGCTTGTACACTCCTGCATCTTGCAAAGGGACATTACACTTGACCGATGGTAAAAACTGACCAATCTTCTTCAGCGGCTTGAAGTATGTTTTGATGGAAGCGCGCTTCAAGATGTAGCCAATCTTGTCAGTGACTCCTCTAACATATGGCAGTACAGCAGGTACACGCTCGACTGTGGCTGGCTTCACTCGTTCACTGTGACGTAGGCGCGGGACTCGAAGCTTGTTGTCATGCAAAACTTGCTTGACATGGTGGAGCTCTGCAGCCTGGTGTTTACTGTCACAGATCCCTCGTGCTCTCTGAAACAAAGATTTACCCACAGTAGCTAACTGTGAAGGATGGTGGTGAGAATCACCGTTTAAATATCTATCTGTATGGGTCTTTTTTCTATACACAGTATGGCTCAAGGTGTTATCAGGATTCCGAATTACTAACAAATCTAGAAAAGCTAAGGAATTGTTTGCCTCTAACTCCATTGTGAACTGAATTTTAGAATTTATAGAGTTAAGATGGTCTAAAAATGCAGTTACTTTATCTAAAGGTAGAATTGTGAAAGTGTCGTCTAGTACCGCTTGTAGAACCTTGGATTTATGGGAGAACTAAGCAGGGCTTTCTCCTCAAAGTCTTTCATGAATATGTCGGCGACAATGGGAGATACAGGTGAGCCCATCGCCACACCATCTACTTGCTTGTAGAACTCCTCCTTCCACAATAGGTTAGGCTGTAAAGCGTTCGAAACGTCGGGTATTTAAAAAGTTAAATATACGCGATAAATTCCGTAAAAACTAGTATTATTTCAAAATGTAAAACTATTTTACTCTTTTTACTTTTTTGGGTTTCAAATATGGGTTAGCCTCAATTGTAGTGTTGGTGCACACACACATTCTTTAGAACGCGTGAGCTCGAGAGTCAATATTATTAGCCTGTACTGTCCGAACCGAAAGTATATGGAAAAAGTTGTTCGCAGTGAATTAAGACAATTAATATGCCCTTTGCTGTACAACTGCTTTCCAGAAACATTCATGTCTTTAAATACAATACAGTAGATGTTGAATATGTGACTTGTTATGTTCAAACCACCCTAATGTTTTCACTCATTCATCACAACTTATAGAAGTTTATACTGAACACAGTCCATTGCTGAATTGGATATTAGCCATAGTTGCCACACTCTACAGCGGGTTCGCACTCACTATTTTTTTATTATGTTTGACCCTAAATATTTATTAAGTATCTTATGGTATTTACCATGTGCATGTGTCAACAGCAACAAGATAATCCATCTTATCTAAAAAAGAAATAAAATGTTAGATCTCATGGCATTTGATGATGGAATCGCCATCTCGCAAATAGCCACACTTCAAGGCCTGAACTTCAAAGAAATGATTTTATTTATTCATATATTTATTTATTATTTAAATACAGACCATCGTTTGAACTCAATTTATTCTCTTGGAAGTTCAAGGTGGGGTAAACAATTTAAACTTCCGTTTCATGTGTCCGTAAAAGACTAGTGAGTAATTGCCCTTATTGCCACGCTTACCTGGAGATCTCGCATCTTTGACGCTGACGCGTGATTGTACCCTTTTACATCTGAGAAGTAATCTTACAATATTCGTAGATGAATTATCTTACGACCTCACCAAGACTAGAATTTGTAAATAAAAGCGACAGGATCGGAATTGAAGAGGTCGCCGTAGCCGAAATCGGTCTAGGTTTTATATATATATATATATATATATATATATATATATATATATATATATATATATATATATATATATCTTGCCAGGCAGACCTCGTTTTGCCCTTTTCGATGTTCCTTTGTCATGTACCTATTAAAAATCCTTAAATTGGCATAAAAATAATTGTGGGTCACTCATGGGCAAAAAAACCTATAAGTGGATCACACACAGTGTGCAAATTTGATTAAAATCGGTTAAGTAGTTTAGGAGTCCATCGCGGACAAACAACGTAACACGTAATTTATATATATTAAGATAATATAGTGTATACCCTACTGTTGAAGTTAATATTGATCTGTTCCCCATTCACATCGCAAAATAATGATTATTGTGGGTTACAGTGAAGCCAGCAGCAGACACGGCGGGCTCTGGTGGCGACTCGTCTGCGGACGACGACAGCGACGATGAAGACGAGCGCGCTGCTGCCGAAGAGAGACATGACGAGGTATGATCACATGCAGGACTTGATGAAAATGATTTTTATAACGTTAAATCGACAACGTAGTTAGCAGTCTACCTTATAAAAGCCTATCGACAACTGTACCAAACACCGAAATACCTTAAAATTAGCATAGCTCCATAGCGTGTTGTTAATATAATGTATTATACATACTCTGCAAGATCATGGAACATACATTGAACGCCCAACTTACGGCATGTCTAGAACAAAATGACCTCAGCGATCGACAATATGGGTTCCGTCGTAATCGCTTGATAAAGTCAGTGATCTTCTAGGGTATTGTATGCCACATGTAGCGGGGCTTTAGAGAAAAATGGTAAAGCCACTTGGTGAGTGAAATATTTGACTGATTTTAAAGTGTGGGAAAGTTAACTTTTTAGAAAAGTGTAGAGATTAATGATTCTTTTTGAAATATTTAGCTACATTTTATATTAATTAGAAAAAAAATGGATTAACCAAATCTCAGATATTCCTGAAAGTACAATTAAAAAAAGTTTAAAATATTTAAAAAAAAAAACAAAGAATACAGTATTGTTTTGTGTACGCAACATTCTAATGATGATGACACCATGTGACCGTCTGCATAACAAATGAGTTTACCTTAATACCAACCAGCGACTTCTGGTGAGCGTAAGATTAGCCCTCATTGCTGCATTCTGTGGAATCTCGATAGCCTTTGACAGGATCAGGCATACAATCCTTTTAGGGAAGCTTTCAGCGTTCAAAAACCCAATCGAATAGACCAAGAGAACACTCTTGGTCTATACGATTGGGTTTTTGAGTGAATGGACTCTCGATGCCATTATCATAGTCTCTGGTTCCAAGCAGGCAGAGGTCCGTTTTCTTCGCAACTCTATTTGACCTGCTTATGCCTGGCATCTATAGGTACTCAGATGACAGCACAGCTGTGGAGAGATATTTATTCTAAAGAGAATCCTATGGCTTAGTGTGTGAATCTCTACTAAAGCTAGTCTGAATGGGGCGACCAATCGTGTGAAAATCAATGACTTCAATACACAATCGTGTTTCCTTGCTCGTCCACCTTCTTTCCGAGATGTATTACTGGACTACTCAACTGTCTTCAGTTGTTGGGGATGATATTTCCTGAAAGTGTATATGGGGGCTAGCTTGCAATCACTTGGTATGCTTTAAACTGGCATGTAAATTACAGGCACAATTTTGATTCACATATCTGTAGTTACTTTTTAGCAGAATCTGGTATGCTTGTGCGTGCAACAAGAATGTGCATCGAGAGCTTTGAGATTGGGTACGAAAATCACACCAGAAAAAATAATTAAAATAAATTCCGTTATTTCTGTAAAAAAATTCGAATTTACAAAGAGTTACCAAATAGAATGTTGATGGTGACAGCATACCAAATTGTACACCCACATTTATGTATATAAGTAATGTAAATGGTAAAATTGATGAAACATTAGGAACAGATACAATGCGCCGCCAGGAGTGATAGAGGGGAGTGTATTTTATCTGAAAAACATGATTCTCTTGTTGGGACCACTTTACTACTCTTCATTAGCGAGACAATTTATACAATATTTGTTATATGCAGATTCTGTATATCAGAGAATTCTTTTGTTATCCATGAAAAATTAAATACCTATATTATTATTGAAAGAAAGAATTTAAAAAATTATTGGGCAAATAAGTAGTTTTTATTCATCCAATTTTCGAACAATTAACAATTTTTTTCTTATTATTTAACAAATTTTTCCATGCGCAATGTAAATCAAACAAATGCATGATTATTTATTTCTAGGGTTTTACAAGTTATAACGGTGTCAAAAATGGATTCGGAAATAAAGTCACGACTGTATAGTACGAATTGCGATTGTGTAAGTCTAGTACAATATTAGAAAAATTTGACAATGCTTTCCACTTTTCAGTTTTTGTGATTTCAGTTTGTGTGCGTGTGTGTTTTATTCAGTATTTTTACGCTGTAATTGTATCATATTTATTAGAATTTGGATTGATTTGTTTTATCATTTCACCAACAGATATAAATGGAAATGGTTTATTGAAAAAAACTGAGTTGATTAAACTAAGGACCTAACATGACTACGAGGCATCTCAATAATTTGTGCAATGCATCTGGGCTGTCTAGGTTTTGGCAAACTTATATTCGTTGTAAACCAGTGATGTTTTAAATATATCATGATATGATGTTTTAGACATATAATACTATAATACATGCATAATAGAACGGGGGAGTAGGCGGAGCCCGTGTAGCCACTAAAATGTCAATTCACACATATAAATGTCAACACGAAATGTGTTTTGACGTAACAAGCGTTTCCAAATTTCGCATGCAAATTATTTAGAAAATACCAAATTGCACACTATTTACATATAAATATGTATTAAAATTTAAACGGTTTTTTTAAATGATGAAATTAATCTAAAGTCTAAAATGTGTAAATTTACCCAGTCTGTCAAAATAGGGAATCGGGTTTATAGTAGTGATAATACGACGTAATTGCTTTTATGTATGCTCCCGGCGATGCCGAATCTCATAAAAAATAAGTTTGACAGCCATTTTGTTGTGTATTATAGTATTCTATGTTTTAAAGTATAGTATCGTTATCTGTTTAATTCCTAAGTTTCAGTTTGTGAAAAAACTGAGTTTCTAGTGGAGTTAAACTAAAACGAATCAGTAAAAATGTTATTTTTATTTCATATTTATATGTTTAATGTATTAAAATTGATTACTGTCATGTATAGTGCAGACATTATAATATACTGTCTGTCATAAGAGTTAAAATGATTATAATGTGTCATAACTTGATACATTCGTATCATATCATACGAGACGTTTCATATGTTTTTCATAGTCCTTCGTTGTTATTAATGTGATATTCCTTTAAAATTAGTTGAAATCTGGGCAGCCATTCCACGTCACCTTATTAATTTAGGTTTTATTTAGGCGTCTATTGAGGAGACGTCGTTTTACGTTTGCCGTTGTTATATAGCCGTACTTGATACCATCATTAACTAAGAATTTTTAAACCATGCAGATGCCTTTTCAACGTTTTACAGCCTGTATTTTTTTTTAGTTTATAATAAATTCACTAATCATTTGTAATGTCCTTTTATTACAATTTGTGATGTATTTTTATTGTAACATTTGTATAAAGCTGTATATATATTATTACAGTGATAACTCTCCTTTTATATATTAAATTAAATCAATTTTGCATTTCAGCCAAAGTTCTACGGTGACGGCGAAAAGACTGAAGAGACCAACAATCATTCGTCCAAGGAATCAAAGTGAGCAATTGTAACTGAGACCACATTGTTACAAACACGAGATCACATTGTTTATAAGGTACTCATAAATCCATAAATAATAGTGATGAGGTATTTAATACAAATATTTTTAAATTTATATTTATTGTTTAATACTAATAGAAATAACCTTATTATACTGCATCCTTATAAATTATTGTAGTTTTGAGCTTATAGTTACATTAATATTCCATTCAATTTAATGGCCTAAATGTATATTTCATTTAAAATTATAAAAATAAATAATAATTTATTAGGATGTAGTGAAATGGGTCCAAGAGTTTAAATTTTTAATGGTCTCGAAAATAATTCACCATTATGGCCTTCTAGATTATATTAAATTCAAATTGAATTAGCTAGGTGATAGTAACTTTCAGTGATATAGAACTTTTTTCTCATATTGTAAAGCTATAAATTGAGTAACTGATTTGCTAGACAACTTTAAAACGCTCAAACAAGAAGGAAGTTAGAAGGGCAAAGTGTAAAAACAGTTAATAGTTTGTAATAATTTAATATGCATATTTATTTACTACTTTATAGACCTTGTGAAGGGTTTAACAAATTTTAACCACTGGTAAGTTTAAATTGGCGCTCTATGCCTCAGAATATTGAATATTTTTATGAGTTATTCTATTTTATTATAAACTTTCAAAATAATTTATATTCAACTATTTAAATTGTTAAAAATTATGGATTTATTTACAAATATATAATTATGTCTACTTAGAGTGTAACATGCATTTGGTTCACACATCGCAACAATTATGTACATAGATTTTTTCAAAGGCAGATCTTTTAATCATACACTTTATAACATTGAACATAAATGTTGAGCGCGGGATGCTTTTGACACTTGTTTCCACTTATTTTTCTTATCTATTACTAAGGCACGGTAAAATCTCACGGCCTGGCTTTCATATTCTTTAAATTTAGTTCAATATGCAATAACGGTTTCTACATAGTCCGCCTATAGCTCAATGCACTTTGTCCAATGTTTCTTTTTATTCTTTTTATTGAATGGATCAATAAGTGAAGTACAATTCCAGAAGGTCTAAAAAATTCTCCTGTGAATGATGATTTTTATTTAAATACAAATGTGAATTATCCAGACTCGAATTCTATGAGATTTGACAAGAAGTGGAGGTCAGAATGAGTCTTAATATATCTATTTTACCCTTTACAAAATACTTGTGGACAGGGGCATTGTCTTGGCAAAACATGGTTTTTTTACAATCTTAATTTCGTTTTTTCATTAAGTCACTGGCTTGACTCAGTTTTCTGAGATCTCCATATTTGATTTAAAAAGGCAATATTATCTATATATGATAAGTTCTGAGTGCGCTGTAACTCGTAGGACAAATATTGACTATATTTTCAATTCTGTGACTCTATTTTAAGACTTGCGTATTGCATAGTGAAAGAAAAATCATTTTGCTCTCACTCTTACTCTACGCGAAATACTTGATCAACAAAACGTAAGAAAAACGAGGGATAACCTCAATAATACCTTATTGATTATGGTTTGTTAAAAACAATTCTTTTTAGGGGTTTTTAGTTATATAGGGGGTTGTTTCTGTAAATATTTAGATTTCATTAATTGTAATAGAAACCTAATACGACAATCATGTTTCATTCTCGTAGATCTTTTTCTTTATTTCCTAAAGATTCTAATGCCTAATTCTGATATAAAATATATACTCTTGTTTACAAATTTTGTTATTAAACATCAACCAGTGATACATATTTCTTAGAACATCCTTGTATTCAATTAACTAAAAGTTAAAAAGACAAAATTTTCATGTACATCTAAGTAACATTAATCAAATATTTGTAAAAAAAATCTGTATGTATATTAGAAATTTAGTTCATAAGTGGTGCATTGAAAATTGTAAACTTGGTTCATTTAGAAACATCCATTAAGTTATTTAAGGTGTAACAAATATGTAGCTTTTTAAATAAGTTTATAAAAATCATGTTAAGGTTTGATAATAGTTCAATATAAAAAATTATTTATAATCATTATGAATAACCTAGGCAATAAATGTTAACATGTTTGTAAAAGAACTGTTTCTGTTAATTTTCGAATTATGCTAAGCGAAATATTACAATATTCTTTGATTTTCGGTTGACAAAATATACAATATTTTTATACAGTATTACTTTATTTTATTTACTCCTGTATATACTACAGTCCTCCTGTATGTCCCCTGTTGTGGACAGGTTCCCTTCTTTTCACTCAAACTAGAATCTTAATTAACAGGCTTGAGAAAGCCTTGGGGTATACAAAAATCATTTTAGACAGGTAAGGAAAATTAATTTACAACTGAGTTGCTTTTAAAAAAAAACATAATTTAACAGATAATCTTGCAAGTTTTATACCATTTTCCATTTTGGAATCCTTAATAAATGCGCCTACTTTTAAAGTTACTTACCATTCTCGTGTAGTTTTTTTTTAATGCATGTTCTGTTTCGATTTCACCAAATTTAGCGACATGCCTGAGTTGCGGGGGGCGTGTCAAATACACTGTGATTGGATATTTCGAGGTTGAACTTAGAATGCACTGAACCATAATGATGGGGGCAGGATTGGGACGTTGATCGATAAATTTGGGATTTATTGATTATTGATAAATAAATATATTGGGCAATTTTTATTTGAAATTTATTTAAAATATATATATATATATATATATATATATATATATATATATATATATATATATATATATATATATATATTATTGCGAACACTACAAATTGACTAAAACCATATACAGGTGTCCCAAAACTCGACGTCAACCCGGAATCGAGTGAAAAGGCAAGTCATGCTGGTTGTCAGAAAAATTAAAAAAAATCTAAGTTGCATTTTTTTAAAAGTATAGGCATTTAAAAAAACGGAAAAGTTCACATTCTCTGATAGTCTTTTCAATCCCGTTGCCACAAATCTTCACTTTTTCCAACTATTGTTTTTGTTATGTAACCCTGACTCTCTTTTAAAGAGATGTCGTGTTTGTATTACCGCTAAAGGAAGGCAATTCGAACATCTATTGTAAGCTATTGTAATAAAAAAAAAGTTGTATTGGTTCACTAGAGAATACCTGGCATCACTCTCTGTCTCGCTCGCACTTGGTAAAGTGACTCTATCCGTCTCAGTCACTTTAGCGTCAATACCTGTCTCACTTGCACTTCTTTAGAATGACTCCTTCACTTCAAGCTACAATTTACGACCCTTTGGAAAATCTTAGGTATATTAGAATAATTTTTAACCAAGTAAGAAAAACTTCATAAAACTGGGGTTTTACGAGAAAAAAAAATAATGTACACGATTGCAGCTACAATTTACTAAGTGTTATACCATTTTGGAATCCTTACTAAATGCGCCAACTTTTGACGCTATTTGTCAAACCCGCGTAGTACATTTTTTTTTCAATACAGTCAGTTAAATCTAGGCAATTTTGAATTTTGAATTTTTTTAGAAAATAAGTCCTATTTTATGCAAGCTATAGCAACTAGTTTTGAAATTTTAATACCAGTATACTACGCGTTCATTTCGAGTTTGCCGTCGTAGACCGTTACGACGTCACAGCTGCCGGTACCGTAGACGAAAAAGTCATCATGTTTGCATGTATGTTTTTTAGTATTCACATTTTCAATAAAGTTAAATAATAACGTGTTCGATGAAATAAAATATTTTTTGAATGATGATGATGATGAAATAATAACGTGTTCGATAAAATAAAATATTTTTTTTATAGTTTTATTTTACAAATTAAAGATTTTCGAAATCGCTTGTTTCTGTGTCACTGTCATCACTCCATTCTGTGTCACTGTCATCAGTCTCTCCGCCCACCGAAATAATCAATTCTCTTTCGTTGAGTTCTTGCAACCTATCGCTTTCCCAATATTGTTGCCGTAAACGGTCAAAGTGGTTTACCTCTTTTTTCCAGTCCTCTACAGAGATACTATTAATAGCTTCCAGAGTGAGTTTTTGTATTTCTTTTTCAGACTGGCTTACATTTTTATCGGCTATTTTTTGCTTCACTAGATTCCACACGTACTCGATGGGATTCAAATCACATTGGTACGGTGGTAGGCGTAAGACTTCGTGTCCATGACTTTGGACAATTTCGTCAATTTCATATTTTTTGGTAGGCTTCGAACGACATACTACATAGTATAATTCTCGCTTCGTCATCTTTGGGTCAAAGGATATACCATTTTTCTGCAACCATTTTTGCATAACTTCTTTGCGTGCCACTGAAGTCGGTGGTTTATCAATCTGGCGGCTGTGATACGGTGCATTGTCAAGTACAAGAATGCTATTGGGAGGTAAGTTGGGTAGGAGTTTTTCCTGTATATACTTTTTGAAATTATTTGCGTCCATTTCATTATGGTAGTCCCCTGAAGTGCTTTTGCATTTATAAAGGAGTTCGGCACCTTTGACAAAACCATTCTCGCTGCCATCATGGACCACAATCCAACGTTGTCCGGGATTGAAATTCTTTTTTACACTTGCATCAGTTGCATTTTGCCAGCATTTTGAAACGGTATAGTGGCTGTGTATCCACGTTTCATCCAAATATATGACTGGTTTTTTATAGACTCCCTGTTCATCATTTTTACGTAATCTCCGCAAGTAACGTGCTCTCCATGCTGCTATCTCCGGTTTCTGAATAAGATATTGTCTTATATTTTTACATTTTGTAAACTTATAGCCAAGATTCGTTTTTATAATTTTCCAGAGAGTGACTTTTTGCCCAGGAAAATTGAAGTCTTTCTTTGCTTCTGCTAATATCTTGCGCAGCGTAGGAACTTCCTTTTTAACTGTAGAAACGGTCAATTATGTTTCGAATCGAACACACCATGAAATCATCTATTTCCAACCTCTTTGTGGCTATTTTCTTTTTTCTCGGTGATGTCAATTTTATTTCTTGTGTACTTGAAGTACTGGGCTCAGGTGAGCTCGTTTTAATTTTTTTTGCTTCAGTCTTTATATTTCTTAAAGTACGTTCAGATATACCAGTGGCGGCCGCAGTTCTCTTGATAACGTTATCGAATGATTTTAATAGCGCCTGGTACTTCTTTTCATTTTCCAACAACTTAATTTCTATTTCCGACGGTGCATCGGGCTGTGTGAGCAGTGTGCTGCCACAAGTATCACGTGAGTTTTCATTTTTTAATCTGGCAATACTTTTCATAGCTACGACATCGTGAACATCATAAGGCGTTATCAACTGCTTTTCAACCTTTTCTTGTTCAAAGAATGTCATTATCTTATATAATAAATTGCGTTCGCCACTGTGCAAGACCTTTCCTCTTTTTACTCATTGTAACAGAACAAATTAACGAATATCAACAGAAACAAAAACAAAAAATCAACAGTAACAAAAACAAAAAATCAACAGTAACAAAAACAACAGCAAAAACAGTAACAAACTAGAGAACGTACGGGAGCATAAAAAACGGACGTAAGTACACTTCGACGTTACGACGTTCGACGACGAAAAGGGCGACGCTTGAGGCGCGGAATGAGGGGGCGCGGCGGGAGGTAACGGCATTCTTGAAGTGAACGACTTATAGAAAAGCATTATTCAGGGTTTCATAACAAAAAAAAAAAATAATTGGAAAAAGTAAAGATTTGTGGCAACAGGAATGAAAAGACTCACTGGATGTGAAATTTTTCCGTGTTTTTTAATCCCTATAATTATGAAAACATGCAACTTAGATTTTTTTTTAATTTTCATTGACAACCAGCATGTCTTGCCTTTTCACCCGGTTCCTGGTTGATGTCGAGTTTAGGGACAACTGTATACAGATTTTATCTCGTCTAATTAACTTATTTTTTTAGTTTGGTTCGGTTTAGGGTACTTTACAGCACCCATGGTAACGGGGCGAGGGGGGGACTGAGATGTTTGACGTCCCAATGTCATAGTTAGCCCGGTTACCTTCAGTTTTTGAATATTGATTTTTGGTTCGATCTATGTAGAGCGAGCTTACAGTATCTAAGTCTTGCAGTGGTATGCTTGGGTTTGGGTTTAATTTTGTTAATTATAGGATCCCAAGCAGATGGCAGCACACAACCATCGACTGTGGCTGGCTTCACTCGGTCGCTCTGACTTAGGCGAGGGACCCGAAGCTTGTTGTCTTGCAATATGTTGGCCAGATGTTTTCTGTCACAGATCCCTTGTGCTCTCTGAAATAAAGATTCTAACTATGAAGGATGATGGTGAGATTCATCATTTAAATATCGATTGGTCTTTTTCCTATACACAGTGTTCGGATGACTGAAACATCTAGGAAAGCTAGAGAATTGTTTGCCTCTAACTCCATTGTGAATTATATTTTAAAGTTTATGGAGTAAGGTGGTCTAAAAATACAGATGCTTTGTCAGATGGTAAAATTGTGAAAGTGTCGTCTACGTACCGCTTGTAGAATCTTGGATTTACAGGAGCAGTAAGAAGGGCTTTCTCCTCAAAGTCCTCCATGAGTATGTCGACGACTAGGGGAGATACAGATGAGTCCATCGCCATACCATCTACTTGCTTGTAGAACTCTTCCTTCCACAATAGCTAGCCAGATGTGAAGCTGTGTTTGCGTAATACTGCATATTCTGCAGGCATGTTGTTATCTTCTAGCTTCCTAGTTACAATTGAGATGCAGTCTTTAGTAGGTAAGCATGTGAATACGGTTTTTCATAGTCTGGAGATAGTCTTCTGTGAAGTGTCTTGAGCATAGCACATGATTTTTGGTGGGAAACCATTGGTCCCCTCGACAAGTTGCGTTCATCCACACCTTTTTCCTTTCGGGGCATTTAAGAAACCTATAACATATAGGTACCACAATTATACGCCACTATTTTTATAAAATAATGACTACAAAAAATGTAAACAATTACCAAACAAATATCGACTTATAAATCACAACACCATAGATACACGTGTTGTCATTAGACAAAGACATCTATTTTAATTTACTTAATGAGTGAAAAGGACATTTCAAAAAGACATCAACGGGTGCTTAATTGTTTATCACCTTGCACCATTATATAACCAGTATAAGTTGAACTGCGGTGCATTTGAAAGAGGTTAACCTGATAATAATAGAATTTACTTACGGCTGAAATGTTATGCCACCTTTTTGATAACTGGATGTCTTAGCTGCCACACCATTTCACTGCACAGGAAGCCATTTGTAATGTATTTTGGATACAAAACTATTTTTAAATTTTCAAAAACTCGGACGTGTCTACAGGTCACAAAGTTGATCGACAATGATGTCGTGATTTTTAGCGGTACTTCATATGCTTAGCTACAGCAAGCATGTGTTGCGCGCGTTTCTGGCCCTGTATGCGGAATCTATAAGGGGGTAATGTGTATTTCTACATGACCAAACTACCGAAGCATTCCTTTCTTAATCCTCGTCACAACATCATCTTGCATACCACACTCTTCTCTTATTACAGAATTTCTCACTCTGCCACCCAGATTCAGCCCTAACATACTCCTTAACGACCGCATTTCTACTGCGTTTATTCTACTCTCGTGCTTTTTCTGCAATACCCAACTTTCACTAACTCTACCTACCACTACTACTAAGTTAAAGTAGGGACTAACACGGCATTGTGAATTGCCATACGTGCCTTTTTTGACACATTTTGACTTTCCACAATAGAGTGTAGAGCCCCATTTACTCTATTTCCTGCGTTCACTCATTGTTCTATATCATTATCATATCTCCCATCTCTGCTAAATACACATCTCAAATATACAAACTCATCTACTTGCTCGAACAACTCTCCTTTTATTCTTATTTCACGTCGTTTTATTTTATTCTATTTCAAAAACCATAGCTTTCGTCTTACTTGTGTTCACTTTCATTCCCCTTTTTTTAACGACCTGTTCATTAATGTAACCATCATTTGCAACTTGGCCGCCGACGATGCAAATATAACTTGATTATCGGCGTACAAAAGGTATTTGACGGTTATCTCACCCATTCTTACCCGCATTCTTCAACTTTCAAATTTTCCAAACAACTGTCCATGAATAGGTTGAACAGCCACGGAGAAGCCACACAGTCCTGTCTGACACCTTTATGGATGCCTAACCAGTCCGAGTAGACCCCGTTGACCCTAACACAAGCACTGGAGTCCCTATAAAGAGACTTCAATGCCTGTTTCAACCCAGTGCTCAACCCAAATGAGTTCAGTGTTTGCCATAACAAATCCCTGTCCACTCTATCATAAGCCTTTTCCAAGTCCATGAACGTACAAAAACTCTTTGGTTTTGGCCAAAAACTGTTCCGCGACTGGAAAATACTTGATCTGTACACCCTACTCCCTTTCTAAATCCCGCTTGCACATCACATATTTTTCCATCAGTTTTTTTCATAACTCTTTCAATTAGTATAGAAGGCTGATACCACGGTAGTTTTTACAGTTCTGCTGCGACCCTTTTCCTTTATATATTGGGACTATCACGGCCTTGCAGTCTTCCGGTACCCGCTTTAGTTCCCAGCATAAATTAATAAAACACACTTTCTAAATATTCCTTCCATCTCTTTAAACTCAAAACTTCATCATTCAGAATACAGCCATTCTTGTCTCGTATACCTAGCATTCAATCTAGGCTGTTTTGAATTTCCGCTCGTAGTTCTTACGAGTTTCCAAAACATTTTAATATTTGCATATAAGTTATCCGATATTCTTCTATTCTTTTTTGCGTTTTCCTCTCAATTACTTCTTTTACTCTCTCATTATACTTCCAAAGACTGCTTTTTTCTTTCAATATCATTATTCGTACCGCCAGAATTACCAGCCTTGGTTACTAGCAAGTCTAGCCATGCTCTCTTCTTTGCTTCAATTTCCATACGTACCTCATCATCCCACCATAACGTATTATTATTCCTTTCATTCGTTCTCTTACTAACACCACATACTTCGGTAGCTGCATCCATCAAACCTTTTTTAACATTATGCCACACATTTTCCAAGTCTAACTCATTCATACACAATTCATCCAAACCACTTATATTTTTTTTCATCCTACATTTGTACTTATTTTTCACACCTTCATCTTGTAACCTCTCTGTTCTAATACGCTGTAATGCAGTGGTAGGCACAGATGTCCGATGCCGCCAACGTCTGAAAAGACCATTAATTCGGCATACAACCAAGTAATGATCCGTCCCTACGTTGGACCCCCGGTAAACCCTTGTATCTACCACTGCGCCCCTCATTCTTTCATCCACAATTATGAAATCAATCATGCTGCTATCATCACCTCTTTCCCAAGTATACATGTGAATCCTCTTGTGGCGAAAGAAAGTGTTCGTCACAAAAAGATTCTTTTCCATACATACGGTGAAGTGGCTTTCACTATTTTCATTTATACTTTCATCACCAAACGTTCCCAATATCCTTTCATAACCAAGCCTCTTCAACCCAACCCTTCCATTAAAATCTCCTAACATAACAATATTATCATTTCTCTTACATTTCATTAACACCATCCTTACCATCTCCCAAAACTGCTCTCGGATATAAGTGGGCTTAGACATGCCTGGGGCGTAAACCCCTAGAACCAACAACTTCCTTAAGCCCACTTTCATTCGTATTTCGTATCCAACCATAACGTCGATCTCCCAATAACTCTTCCTCATGAAGTCTAGGTCCGGAATGCAGTCGTCCGTTAAATTAGCCACGATGACATTATGCGGGTAGATCATGTTGCCTAGTTTCAACTCAATCTCCTTCTCTCCACGGACGGGTATACGCTGACCGGTAGCTGTTACCAAATTAATGCGTTCTCGGTTGTATGCGCAGTCCCCACGGAACTGATTTATAAGTTGGGAACTGACAACCGTGCGAGAGGCTCTAGTGTCTATGGTCAGTTTACACGGCATTCCGTTGACCTCGCCATTGATGGTTAAACTGTTCCCATCATGGGTTTGTGAGATCGAGATCCTTGGGGCTCTTTTAACATCAGCCAGCACTCGCCCGCAGTCCTGGCTTTTACTCGTTTGCCTGCTGCTGTTGGGCAGTGCTTTTAGCCTCACTGCTCTCTCGAAATCGATCACCTCCCCTTTCTACAGTTCGCTTAGGGCAGCTGGATCTAAGATGGCCCTTTTCCCCACAGCCATTGCACCTACGACTGTATCTTTTATTGCAGTCGTGAACTGTATGTAGCTGCTGCAACTTCCCTGACGCAATGGGAACGATGATCCTGCTGCACGGCTTCCACCTCCAGCGCATGTGCAAAGGCGTCCTTAAGCGTGGCATGGTGCCCGAGCCTCACAGGAGCTCTAAGTTCAAGGTCTTTTCGAACCAGCTAATCTACCTCAAGGGCCCACTGCTGCAGGTTTTCGTTGATGCGTTGCACGCGATCTTTAAGCTGCACACGAAAGACGTGTTCCAGGTAAGCGTCGCCATATCTCGCCTCCAATGCCTCAAGGAGCTGCTCGTAAGTCACGACCTTACCGAGAGCTTCCAGAACAGTTAAGGCCTGGTCGCGGAGGCCTAGTGTGAGAGCAGTCATGGCCCGACTTTTATTCCCGCTGTTCGCCTTCATTGCAGCTTCGAACTGGATTTTGTAGGCTGACCAGGAAGAATCCACGTAGCGAAGGTGTTGTAGCTACAACGGGTGCTGTTATGCCATCCCCAAGTTTTAGGTCGTCCAGCGTTTTCATCATGTCAGCCATCACGTTGTCAACCCGATTGTTCACTTGCTGGATTCGGGTTTCAGCTTCCGACAAGCGGTTGTCATATTGAGAACCCTATCCTTCACCTCCCTTATCTATTTCCCGAAGGTAGCGTGAAGGTCCTTTATGACGAGCATCTGCTCTTCCAACCGACGGGCCTGTTCATCCTGTCCGCCCCGCAGCTGCTCTTCCAACCGACGGGCCTGTTCCTCCTGTCGGCGGGCCTGTTTCTGCAGCATCATCATCAGAGCATCTAAGTCAGGTGCTGCAGATGTAGGGGCTGCTGACGGACCGGCCTCCGTAGCCGGTGGCAGGCCCCAGACGTCTGCGGCGTTGCACCACCAAATCGTCTCTGGTCCGTCTCCTGCTGGTGTTGACTTTGGGTACGGACACCCTCCGTTTCGTCCTTAGGTAAAATCGACATGATTTTATCCCACTTCTGACACCAATTGTTACGAACTTAGGGTTCGTGACAATTAAAAACTGCCGATTGGCTTACTACGGCCGTACCCTGTAGCTACTCGAGCGCTGTTGTGGAGAGTTCTTGAACTGTTATTTACTGCTTACAGAAGGACACATTTTCAACTATTCTCCTATGGGAGATTTTCCTCCTTACCTCTATACTCCATGCTCTGGAGAAATAATAATGGAGAATAAATATGTCTGTATGTTTGCCATATGGACTGGCCCAGATTATGCAGTAAAAGTACTAAAAATCTACATAGACGACCAATTTTGGATTTTAAATATGTTATCAAGTCACAAGCGTTTTATGAAAAGTGTCTACTGCCTAAAATTATCTCGAGTTTTTTTTTTCATTTTTATAAAATATATTTATAATAAAAAACATGGTAATTGACTGTAAGTACCGATTAAAAAATATTGTTACATTTGGTTGTTTTATTGGTTGCCACCGTACTATTTATTTATTTATACCACTATGCTACCGTTAGTAGATATAATCGATTATTAACCTATATCGGTTAACGATCGATTTCTGCGTAACAAATAAAATATTTATGTGTACTTATTTCAACACGGGGGTGCATAAATAATGAAAAACATATTAAAATAGATTATAATAAATTAATTAGATAGCATTAAAATTGACACACCAAATTATTTTCATCCACTGAACTCAATCTTAAGAAAACTTGTATTTTGGAAGATCAAGATCATTTAGTCGCCATACTCACAGTATCATAGTGCGAGCGAGTGAATATATATGAAATAATCTCTCGCGTAGTTCGCCGCCCGCTCGGTGCTTAAAATACCTAAATTTGCGTAACGCCGAACTGTGAAAGGGCTCTTTAGACATCATGATATCTATTATTAAAAATTTATGGTGCATTTTCAAATAACCGCGGTAATACTGCGACATCTAACGTTAAGAAGCTTTTGCTCATTAATTCCAGAAACTTCCTTGATGAAAAAGAAATATGATCTCTATTTTTAGGGGCTATTTTTGTATAGTTCATACTCAAGCGAATGGTGAGTGACATAAAGCCTTTATTTTTTATTTTCTAATAGCCAATCACGCTAAAATTATTGAAATGGTGCTTAGTTGTCGATACACTACAGTTCTTTCTTGCGAATGTGTGAGTTTGGAGACAGAGGTTCTGGAGCAAATTATACATTTTGCTACTACCTCTTGTTTTTCATATTCCGTGTGACTTGATCTATCACCCAATTCCGGCTTGACTTCGACTTCTGGGTCACTTATATACTCTTTTTATTTGTATAACAACTTGCTGTCAGAAGTGATTTTTACATAGTGTCTAATTTTATTTCAAAATTTTAACGTAGTCGATTTTCTTTCAAAGCAGAATGGAATGACATTTTCATACAAATTATTTTTCACTCGAGAGCCTGCCTCGGCTTCCTGCGTCTGTTATTTGCCCATCTCGCCATTCCGCGTTGGTGAAAACCCGCCCTTATTCCACATAATGTTGTTTATAAAAAAATTCTTTGTATTGGACTGATTTTATTCTGCTTCTTCTTCATCGGCTCGTAAAAGGCCACAGCTAAACTGGGACCACTTTATCTATCGCGTAAATGAGATGGTTATACCGCCATTCAATCGAAAATCACGAGCTCCTAGGAGCATTTCCCATATACGCCTCCGACATCTTCGGGACCAAATGGAGTGATGGATTATTTTAAGCTGCAAAACTAACTGCAATATTCTCGTATATTTATAAAAGCGGATTAGGTGATTTATATCTACGTGGTAGAGCCATGCTGCAGTTATATTGTAGCACGAATGGTCGACTCGACCGGGGAAGGACCACGCTCTCATAGAATACCAGCGTAAAATAGTAGCTTAATGTTTCGTATAGTGAGTGTAGAGAACCGGATACCCTTTTTACTGGCAACAAGGCATTACATCTAAGTCCTCGCGGGTGACAACGCATTCTGATTCATAATCGAGGATAGATGTAGATGTCTATGGGCCACAACAACCACTTACCATCAGGTGGACTGCGTGCTTGTTTGTCACACTATCCTATAAAAAAGGTGATTTTTTTAAAATAAATTGCATAATGGTAAGTGAAAACTTGTGGTGAATAACTATACATTTACCTTCAACAGAAGGCACCAATAAAAATATAATTCTTTCATATGTGTAGTTTCTTTTACAACATCGTACTGGAAAGCGCAGCATTGGGAGACCATCTAGATTATTATAGATAGTGAATATGTGCTGTGCCCCTGGCATCGACTACCAGGTAGCCGATAGATGCAGGTGACTCAGGACCATACTTTGTGGGGATGGTCTATCTTCATCAGTGAACTGGTAGATGGGCTGTAATAATGATGATGATGATATAATTCTATATATAATTCTTATGTTACATTTATTTAATTAATATGTTATATTTAGGGCAAAAATATTACAGTTGTAGTTGCATCCAACGTCAGTTAGTCAATAAAGGAAACGCTATATACTTCAAAATTTATTTAATATTATATTCTTTTATGTTGATAATATATATTGCTTTTTATTTCTATATACCGTATAGAAATTAATACTTGAAAAGTTATAAGATATACTCTTAAGAAGAAAAAACTAAATTGATTGCTAACAATATTCTCTATCGTAAGTCTCCATTAAAATAAAATTTTTATAATGTCACAAAAAATAGTGTTTGCTTTATCAAGTTATCCTTAATCTAGGACTAATATTGTTCTGTTACTTACAACCCCTTTTATAATAGATCAAATTACACCTCAGAACAATAAAAATAATTATGTCATGTACACTTCACACAACGGATCTTTAGCAGTACAAATCAATCAATCAATAATAATAAACAAAGTAATCAATATAATGGTAGTACTTAAATTGTAATAGGAAATATCAAAAGGAGTGTGGTTTGCAAGATGATGTTGTGACAGGAAGAAAGGAATGCGTTGGGGGGGTAAAATTTTTCAGGGAGTAGGGTGTGTTGTTTTTTATCACAGAACATGACTTTGATTTACGCCTATAGTCAATATAAAAATTTAAGTATATATACATATAGACTTATAATGCCGCCCAATTTACAATAATCATATATTTATTACTTTACAAGTACTATTATTAACCAATTACGGTTAGATATTTATGGAGAAAATTATTAACATTGTAAAATAATAATAACATGAAAACATATGTGTTACTTTCACTTCTTAAATTTAGTCTTTTTTAAAAGAGTAGTGATTGATTTATACTGAACTTTTTTAAAATTTTGGAAAAAAAAAACAGTATTTGTCATAATGTCAGTAGAAAAAGTACATATAGTAAACAAAAGTATATACAGCCTCTAACTGATCTTAATAATAACTGATCTCAATTAAATAAATTGTACTTAATGAATGAGGCGGATAAATTAATTAACACAATAATAATATGTTAGCTAGACACGTTAGCTGCCAATTCGAACCACTGTCTCAGTGCGTCTCCCAACACGTTAGGCAAAGCTGACATGTCTCGTAAGATAAGGTAGAAGGGGAATGGGAAAGCGTCCAGGTAAGGAATGAAGCCGCTCAGAGTATTTGTCACTGGTTCTATCACTGGTCTTCTGATGTCCATAATGGAATCCTGTAAAAAATATTGGGACATAAATAATGCAAGTTTGTTACTTTTTAAATATACATTTAAATGCGCATTGATATGTATATATTATGAACCATGTGATTAATTTAGGCATTAATATTTCTGTTGTGCATGTGTTTATTACTTTTCCGCTTACACTTTATTATCAAACAATCCAACAATATAATTATCGCTCAGTTTCGGCGCAATTTAGTTTAGGGCACTATTTATAATGCTCAGGCAATATAAAGAATGACAAGTCAAAATAGGTTACCTAATTAGGTAATACTGATTTAAACTTCATTATTTATCACATTGTTTGGTCATAACCTAGGCCTTTTAATTTAATTATTTCATTAGTTTTTATCTTATCGCCTACTCATATTGGGCATTTTTAAATTGTCTGGACTCTGGACATTATTAATAATGCCTTATTAATCACTTGGTGCATAACATATGTCGTAGCGTTATGTTATGATCAGGCGGTTAATTAGATTGCTAGCAATTTAGTTTAACGCCTGACGCCTTCATTTGATTGAATATTAAATAAATATCTCCGTAAAGTTTAAGAAAACGGTTGGCCAATAATTTGCTTACGCTCCGCGTTGGGCCTACGGAGCACTAAATACGACTAAATACGTCGCAGACCCCAATTTACTACACATCCGCTACGGACGAGGTCTGCGGGCAGACTGTAGTGTAGTACTGGGCGTTTTATTCAGAAACACTTTTAAAATATAGTTTGTCAAAGAAAAACGAACGAACAGTTTCTTGAAGATCCAACATTAGGTTTAAAAACGAACGAAATGAATACAGTTCTACATTTCATTCTCGGAACTGTCTCAATCGCAAAACGTTTACAAACAACATGCTCGTTTGGTAGGTTCATAGGTTGGATCTAAGTTAAGACTCTATTACTATTGATTTATGAACTATTGTCGTATAAATAGAAAACAGTTATAGTAACTACTTTTGATTTGCCGTTACTATTAAAGATAAAATAAATCTTATTTATATCTATACACAATTCAAATTTGGTTGTAGACGGTAGAACAAAAACGAATGGACCGAGAAAAAACGGTATTTTCGGCTTTCTCTTATTTTTTCTTATGCTACTGTTTGTGAAGGTCAGCTTGGCCAAACGTACGTTTTTTGTTTTAAAATTTAAATCAGTTTCAGTTGTCGTCAAGTAACGCTTGTTTACGCGCGAAAAGTGTTTTATGTGATATATTGTAAATATTAATTGTTTAGTAGTTTTGTAATATACCGATAAAACCTTTACATTGTTTGATAAAATATTGTAGATAGTGTAAATAATGAAAACGTGTATATAAAATGAACTTTTAAATACGCCCGTAACATTTATCAGCCAATCCTAAGCCTGGAAAAAGTATGAAGGGAAGTTCGCTTTATTATTTTGTAAACAAACATATGGTGACGTCGTTACGTACACTGGCGGGATTTTTTTTTGAAAAACTGTTTTTTTTAAACTGTTTCGCAGAACTGTTTCTCATTTCAAAAAAAACGGTTTCGTTTCGTTTTACAAAAAAC